AAATCGGCTATGCGCTTTTGAGTTACTGAAAAAATTTTGAGAATATGATCGAGTGTGGTTTTGAAATCAGCTGTAAAACTGAAAAATTTTCAAGCTGCTGGAGCATCTTTCAACTAGACTGAGACATTTTTAGACATTCTTCAACTTTTCAACTCACTTTTACGAATATCTGATTTCTGCGTTTTTGTTCTTCCCGACAACAAGAAAAATCTTGTGAATAATGCAAACAATTGTTCAAAATCGTTTCGTAATAGTGAAAGTAATGTATAAATGTAGCAATGTGAAAGAAATACGAGAATGACATTGGAACGGTATTATTTGATTAAGATCAGTCTCGTTAGTTTCATCAAAATGCACAGTTATAAGAATACATATTTGCTTTAGGGTTCATCTTTGTTTACTATTTGAGACCTATTTGAGATATGGTATGAATGCTATAACAGGATAATGTGGATTATTGCTATTATCCTTCATGCCCTTCAATCATACTTTCATGCGGCTATAAATGAGATATACTAATCACTCAATGACTGCTGTGCTATCTCACTTTATGATTTGACTTTCTTAAGGAATATTGCAAGCCTGCTGCAATCGCTCTACAATTCCATATCCCATCTCATAATCAGACTCATGTGTCCTACTCTCGCCATTGTTCTGACATCTCGCGACCATTCTAATTAGGCTGGAAACAATTTTAATCAGTGCCAGAAATGGTCTGACCAGGCAGGATCCAAGCTGCTCTAATCAATCTTCATTTGATATCCATATGGGTTCATTATTATCTTTGAGTGTTCGTTTGAACAATATGACTGATGCCCTCATTGAACTTATGCTGAGGTTATCTATCTGAGTTGATTTTTGTGATTTCCGTTAGCTTTTTATAGAGTTGAGGTTCTTTGTTGGTGTTTACAATATGGACTTGGGTGTATTATGATTGATTGACGGGAATGAATGAATTTCCACTTATCATAGCGCCTTCGACAAACCGTCGTACTGCATCTTTTCAACTTATAACTGTACAATATTACTTGATGAACGGGATGATTTTTTAATGATTCGATTGAACTACTTCGTATGATCGGCAATGCATTTTTGAGTTATTGAAAACATTTCGGGAATGTAATCGAATGTGGTTTTGAAATTAGCTCTTCAAACAATAACTTTTAAAAGTGATTTCAGTGGCAAAATTGATTTCAGGAAGTACCCGAAGAAGTGTTCCGAGTGAGGCAAATGGAAATAGTCTCTCAGGGTGCACAACTCTCAGATGCCGTACCACAACTCTCCAACATGATATCACATAAGTAATTATTCGCTTCATTTGCTTTGAATTTATCAGTAAGGAGTTGTATCGTTTAATTTGATGATTTTGATTGACTGTGATGGTTGCTGGGGAAAATTTTTGAGTATTTGATCGAAGTCACATCGCGAGTATTCGGGATAAAGTGGTTAGGTAAAATTAATACTAACGTTTTGGTTCAGGCTTCAGCTATCAGGAGTTAAGGTTGACTTGGGCTGGCTGAGGTTGGGCAGATTCTGGCTTATTGTGAGACGAATGGTTGGGCATGACTAAGTGAAAAAACGATATTGTGAATTGTTTCGGTAATATATTCATGAAAACGAAATTACAGGCTGAGCACAGTAAATCGAGCAATGGAACATCTGAAAATACGTCGTAATAGTCCGCCTGAAGGATGCACAAAAGGTATCTTGCTTGCTAATTTCTGCAGAATCTGTTTATTTTTATGACGAATGGGAAATTCCTGAAAATAATCATTGAATTTCAAATATTCACTCGAAATTTCATTTGCAAACTGTTTTTGCTCATTCAGGAGCGAATAGAAACTGATTTTGTTAGCGATAAGCATGTATATGATTTGGTGTTGAACTTATTCTGAGCTTCTTCTGCTTAGCACATAATCTTTATTGGATATATTAAAACATTAGTGGATAAATTATGCATTTTGTAATTTTGCAATGGGAGAAATATCATTGACAATTTCTTGCGATTAGATATTGTTTCTTGTTAAATGCCTGTAAGTGTGATCATTTTTAAGTTTTTTATGAATATCAATGAATATTTAGCGAGGAATTTATGAATATCAATGAATATTTTTGAATATTCAAACCCAGAAAAGAGTGAATCAGACATCATGTTGAATATCGATGATCAAGCGTGCAGTGAATGTTGAAAAAACGTTTAACAAAAAAGGCCTTTCGTCATAAAAAATTCATCAACAAGCATTTTGCAATTTGAATTTTGTTTTCGGCGTTACTTCGGCGTCTTCTTATCACGTTAGCACATGGTTGCACGCTTGTTATCAGATCATCATACTCGAATGGAATGTACGCCGTCATAAGCGTTCGTTCATAAAATAAACATCCGAAAACAGAGGGTATTACGGGAGGAGAGGCGATTCTATGATGTATATAACGATTAAATTTAGCAATCGTTTGAATTCGAGGGAGAAAACATGAGTAAAATTGGAATTTTTTGAGTTCGTTGAAAGTTCTGATTGGAAACAAAATATTTCTCGTGTTCGAATAGTTACGAAGAATACGAATAAATAATATAAGTTTACCTATTCTTTGCACCGCACCGGTGTTATGGTACACTGAAATTAGATTTGGAAAATTTGGATTTTGAAAAAAAAAATTCGGAAAAAAATCAAAAATTTGATACTCGTAGATGATTTTATGAGATAACAGAAGAAAGTCAGTCCGCAGATGGGCATAAAACTTTTAGTTCCTTCATTGTAAGCTTCGTAGAAAGATGATCTCGTTTTTGAGAAGTAACAATTCATGCCATTTGCAGAGCATAGTGCAGATAACACAAGTTGATGTTTAGTTGCAATTAGAAGATTAATTGTTCTGAAATGATGTTTACACCAGAAATTCGTCCGCATAAATCAGCTTATCCATTGGAGAGTATTGCAACTTGACACTTCACATCAATGTTTCATCCCTTAAAAGAACTTAAATTTAACGTTATATTCCCTCAAGCAGCGCACATTTAGGCTGAGGGAAGTAAGTCTTTAATGTCCGATAAAAGTGATTTCTGGAACTGTTAATTCCAATCAACTGGATTTGACCCAATGATTCTAGTAAAACTGTTGATCTATGTCATTGCCAGTTAGACTGCCAATGCATTGAAATCTAATGAGCGTTTTTGATTCGAGTCTGGAAAATGGGATCCTTTTTGCATATTGATACTTGTTTCTTAATGATCGAATCTTGCGGTTAGCATCCTATTCGTCTGATAAATTTTCTTCTCTTCTAGGGGCACGGTGCTTGATCAAGTTCAAGTTTAACATCAGTTAAGGAAAGTAGACTTGAGATGATGTTGTTATCATAACACATTCACCCAAAGATAGAGCATTCGGAAGGATTCTATGAATTCAGATTCTATGTAACATTCATCCCTTTTATGGATCACTGATTATACGATGTTTGGCCAGACAGTCACTGCTTTCATTTTAATGTCTAGCGAAAATGCTGAAAAATAAAACATTGTCGATATTTCTTGAATCAAGTGAAAATTGGAATTGAATACAATCAAAATACAATTATTCCAAAACGAACGTGATAATATTCGTTTTATAAATGAAATGATGTTCATTGCACTTTAAATACAGGAATATTATGGCATTATATTCAGTGTCTGTAGACACAGATTATAACGTCAGCATATTTTTCAATCGATTTCATGAGCATAATAATTTCATTGTTTATTCAAAATCATTTTGAGAATTCACTCCTCGCATCATGACTGATCATCACTTTTCAGTGCTCCTTCCGTGTTAGTTTATTTGTATTCCAAAAATTTCTGCTCATTTCAGATGAATATTTCCAGTCCTTTGTCGGAAAAGCATTAATTCCGACTTTTACTGGCAGCAAGTTACTGGCAGTGAAGTTTTGATTTACTGAGTCCCTGAAGTACTGAAGTATTTACTGAATTCCCGAAATTCACTGAAGTGTTGATCGTATGTTTGAGTTTCGCTACCAAGAAATTCCTGAGATAAGCAAAATTTGATAGTGAAATTGAGGAAAGTGTGAATGGGAGTAGCTTTTCGAGACAATAATTTGTTAGGAGTGGATTGACCGCATTAAAAATTCGCCAGTGATCACTATCAGCATGATTTATGAGTAGTGTTGCTTTTAAATGGGTTGTTTTCAAGCGTTGAGGGAATGAATGGGTCAAACATATTAGCTATCTAGTTTTGCGTCTTTTAATGGACTATGGTAGTATAAGCTAAATGTATATGAATGCTATATCTGATAGTATATCAACTGAATGCTTATAAAAATTCATGAATAGCTGAGCAGTAAAGTAGTTTGTAAGTACTTCATGCAGTAGTAGTAATCGACAACCTAAAATTGCCTTACTATTAGAGCGATCTCTGATGTTAGCTTCTCACTCGACGTTTGATCGTTGAACGTCGCTGGAGTTTTGGACTTTATCCGACCGGTTCCCATCTTCAGATTGTTCAGATTTTGCAATTATCTTGAATGATTCCCCCTAACAGTGGATGTATCGTTCAACTTGAAATTGAAAAGTGCTCTTTGATGGGGTTTGATTGTGGCTTGATTAGTAATTAAGGATTCGAACATGAGATTTTTGGATTATGGAATACTTGTTGTACTGGATATCCTTTACACTGTCAGCAATTTTGGGATGTTCAATGGTTTAAAAGGGCTGTCTTTGATTATTAATTCTTATATGTGTTACTGGGATGATTAATTAGTTTGGATTAAGTTGCGATCAGTATGTGATCAAATTATTGCGATCAATATAGCATGCATATGAGGGTTGATCAGTACATTAACCAATCGTGAGCTAAAAGCTTGGGACAATTGAATTTTAAACAGATAACCATGTGATTGTCAATTGATATATAGTATAGATGGTGAGGCAGTTATCAGTTCTATTTAATCGATGACAGAAATTGATTGAAGAGTCTATTGAATTTTCAGATGATCGTGAAATATCGGCCATAACACAGCTGAGGAAGTGGATTCAATCAACAAACGAAAAACTCGCTAAAATCGAATCGAGCTTTTCAAAGGACACCACAATTCGCAAGAAACTGGACAGACTTGCCGCCGATCAGCAGGTAAATCCCTCATAAATTCTTTGTGCTTGCTTCGAATGCTTCGAATTTTTCAGCAACTTCTTTTAAAGTTTCAGAATTTTACTGTTTACGGTCGTTTCTTTTAATGTCACACTTAGGATAGCATTAGAATTCAACACTTTTACCGATTATAACTTGCAGTAGCACATTGCTTTTTGCAAAGTTTTTGAATGTTCTGATCTATGCAATAAAAGTTTTGTTCAGTGAACTTTGTGCATTTGCATTTGTTGTGTTTGGAGGAAGTGTCAAATAATAGTAGTGAACTTTTTTTGGTTTATTGTCGCAATGAAATATTTATTGCTATTCTGAGTGATTGTTCTGAATGAGTGAATGAGCGCAATTCCCATAAGCGAAAAAAGATCATTCAACAAATTTTACGTTTTACGCTATTCACTGTCACATGCATCGTTTTGCAGTGAATGAATGCCCTTTGCCGCAATTCATCATTTGATCTCGCAACATGAATATCTTCCCTTCATCTACTTTAAATTCACCATTCACTTGATTTGCATGTGTTATAACTGTATTCTAGTTTTATTGTCGTTTAGTGAATGAGAAAGGTCTGCGAGAAAATTTTGAGACTGCTAGCTTTGTGCTATTGCAAACATTGAGCTGCTGCTGATGAATTTACCAAAATTAGTGAGCTAAGACTTTGGAGAAACAAGTTAACTATTGGAATTTATACTGCAAGTTATCGGACGAGGATTCAGTACTTACAGAATTGATAGATTCACGTCACTGTGATAAAATTTTGACTGAATTTAATCTATAGTCGAGATTTTACGCTGATAGTTAGCTCATATTCCAAGCTTTTTCACCGTAATGGGTCGCTATAAGATTGAAATTTTATCCTCCTTTGACTTGTTCACACATTAATTGTAAGAAGGTGCAATGCGGTTTTGTTCGTGGCATCTTTTTGCGTTATTGTTAATGTATTGTTCGATTAGAGCGACATGCATCAAGCTAACACCTGCTGTATTTCTTGCCTTTTAATTAATCACAAAATTTGTTGTGTCTACATCGAATAGTGTTAAGTGGGTCACGCATTCACTGTTTCATTTTATTAATTCATAAATCAATTTCATACATGTCATCTTAGAATTGATCATAGTGAATCTTTTATTTGTTGAACACTGCTGCTATTATTCACCTCTACACCTACCCTTTCATCTGTGCAAATACGATTTTCATTGTATATGATGGATTGGATTGATCCAGTGATTCTATTACATTTTCGTAGCATATCCATCGAATAATTAAAACTCTTCTCGATATTTCGATAGTAATTTCGCTTTCCGTTTGTGAAATCATTATGTAATTCCTAACATCTGCACATTTCTCATTTTGCGTTTATGGATCTTTTCTGCAATGTGAAATTTCTTATAATGATTTTATTTTGGATTAATTTTTCATTGAAAACAATCAAAGAACTGCCCGTGTTATTGTTTTTCATTTACTTAGCAGGTGTCTTTCAATTGGTGGGGAGAGTAACATTAGGAAACGAGGGTTGACATTAAGTGAATAGAAATTGTGTTTGATGCACGTAATTAACGAATTTTATTCGAAGGAGTGTTTGTGTTCTGAATTGTTCACTGTTGGTGGCTTTTTATTGGATTGGCGACGATTATTCGTGAATTGGGTTCGTTCGTGACTGAGCGGTTGTTGTCCGTTTTAGTTTTTATAGGAAGACATATTTTGGTGGTTTTGATTTCTGATGGGTGATTTGAAGAGTGATCAGAATTCACATTGAAAGTGATCGTGATTAGCGAGTTTTTGGTCACCAGTTTCAGAAATTTGTAATTTGGAGGTTTGTTGATATCTAGCATATTTATTTTGATAAACGGCTGTTGGTAATTCTTGTAAGTCGGTTAGTAATTCAGTTTATCCGAAAAGTTCAACTACATTCGGAAATCACTTATGTGAAGATGCTATTCACTTATTTCGAAGAATCGAAGAATCCGAAGATAAATAAAATAGTTTAAAGATCCGATATATAAAAATAGCGATCAAATTCAATTCCATTCGTATATTGTTGCGTTGATTTCGCATTTTTTCGTTAATCTGAATATTTGAAGTAATCATTTGCACTGACTTGTTATCAGATGATTTAAATTTCGAGAATGCTTTAAAAACTGATGGAAAGAAATCGAAATAGTTTTAAGGTAGTTGAAGTTTAGAGCATTGTAGTCTACTAGTGATAATAGCGATTATAATATGCATCCCTAAATTAATAAAATTAGGACGAAATTAACCATCAATCATCAAGTAAGTGTCCAATTGTTGTTTACTGCTCAGCTTTTCGATGCTATCGAACGAGATCCACCTGATCGACTGTCTATATTCTGTGTAATTTTAGTGGATTTAGATGAGCAAGGGCTGCAAGGTAGACACATCAAAGAGGATATATAATAGCAATGAGATAAATATAATGATGTATTAACTGGTGAACTGAGTGATTTAATGTCAATATGTGATTACTATTATAAGCGTATAACGTTGTTTTGATTGATCTCTAGTTGATC